CCCTCCCTCCTCGCCGCCTCGCCCGCGCTGCCCGCCATTTTCCCGCCCGCTTTTTTTCGCTCCTTTCCCGCGCCGCCCGCTTTTTTTCGCTCCTTTTCGGCTCGCCTGCTACTAATAAAACTTCAAGTAAAACTCAAGTTACTTTTATAAAACTAAAGTAAAACTCAAGTTACTTTAATTAGGAACATCCAAGAGGCAGACTTGGAGCAAGTCCATCTGTACTACGTATCTTTGGAAACACAATTTGTTTTGTCAAACTATGATCAAGATAGTGACTCTGATTGACTCACATATTGTATTGACAAATGACTGTTGACAATGCTTTTCAGTCTCCAATATTTCAGTGGGTCATGCTGTGGAAATGACAATAAATTTTTATTACCCAACCCTTGAGTTGTTTTGTTTTTCATTTACCCAACCTTTTACTTACTCAAAATTTTGTTTACCCAACCTTTTTCTCTTCGGTGCCACCCCCCGCTATAAATAATGACCGGTCCCTAATATTTGTAGGCGGGCACCGCATTTTAGTACTGTGTCTGGTTCTACTACTAATCAACTTATATTAATAACCCATAAAATATATGAAGCTTTAGAACAAGGTAAAGAAGTGAGAATGGTTTTCTTAGATATTAGTAAGGCTTTTGATAAGGTCTGGCATAGAGGACTCCTTCTTAAGCTTGAACGACTTGGTGTGCGAGACCCTTTATTGAAATGGTTCAGATCATATTTAACCGGGAGAAAACAACGGGTAATTATTGACGGTCAGTCATCTGACTGGAGACAAATTGAAGCGGGGGTACCCCAAGGTTCTGTACTAGGACCTTTGCTTTTTTTTATTTATATTAATGACATTACTACACATCTTCAATCTAATTCTTTTCTTTATGCCGATGATACTTCCCTACTTGAAATAGTGGACGATCCTGCTTTGACTTCAGCAAAGCTAAATAATGATCTTGAGCTTATAAATATATGGACTAAGAAATGGCTTGTAACTATTAATCCAGATAAAACTAAATCTATGATATTCTCTGTCAAATGTCAAAAACCTTTACATCCTCAGCTAAAGTATGATAATAACGCCATTGAAACTTTCGTCTAATCTTTCATGGAGAGCTCATGTGTTTAATATTTATGAAAGAGCGTCAAAAAGATTAAATTATTTTAAGGGTTTGAAATTTAGAATCAATAGAGAAGCTTTAAATCAATTGTACAAGGCACTTATAAGACCCGTTTTAGAATATGCTGATGTGATTTGGGATAATTGCTCCTTGAGTGAGTGTGATCTCATTGAATCAGTTCAATATGAATCAGCAAGAGTGGTCACGGGTGCTATGAGGGGAACTAGTAGATCCAGATTGTCGGATGAATTAGCTGATGGGAAGATATGAATACGAGGCGTTCTATGCATAAGCTTGTTTTATATTATAAAATTGTTAATAATCTTACACCAAGCTTTTTATCAGACGTGTTACCCCGAACGGTGCAACAAAGGTCCGGCCTTTTTCTGAGAAACTCTGCAAATTTTACCTTGTATATGTCAAGGACTGAAAGATTTAAAAAGTCATTTTTTCCTTCGGCTACGCTTATGTGGAACAATCTCGAGCTTAGAGATCGTGATTTATCCTCTGTATATAAAGTTTTTAAACGCTCGTTATGCCAATATTTTGATATTCAAATATATAATAATATATATGATTTTGCGAATGATAGGTTTTCTTCAATCTTGCATACTTGTTTGCGTTTGGGATGCTGTGGTTTAAATTATTATTTGTTCAAAATAAATTGTATCCTGTCGCCTATGTGTATTTGTAACGCGGAGCATGAAACAGTTGCCCATTATTTGTTAAGATGTCCCCGTTTTGCTGCTCTTAGACATAACTTACACTCGAGTGCTGCACAAGTGTTTGGTGATAATTGGTATCTATTGTCAGATTTGCAACGAGTAAATGTTCTTCTATCTGGTTCTACTAGATTGAATATTTCGGAGAACCAAAATATTTTTAAATCTGTCCAGTACTATATAAAGCAAACTGAACGTTTTTCTTAGTTCAACCTACCAATTATCGCTTTTGCCTTTTGTTGTGTGCTTGTATGGAGTTTTAACTCTCACAAAATGTAAATGTTGCGTGAGCCCCCTAGATGAGCTATTGCTCTTGGGCAAATGCAATTTTAATAAATATGTTTATACAAAAAAAAAGGTACACATAAGAAATTAAAAATTGTATTCGCGTAGTTAATATTCAGCAAGTTTTAAAGATGCGGTACAGTCCGTATGTAAACAAAGGCTTTGTTTACATTTCGGTATCCAAAATATCAGTGAATTTTATTCGACAACTATTTATATTTTCATTATTCTAGAGTATAATAAATTATCAAGACACAACAATCAAGCTTTGCAAGAACATAAAATGAAATAAAAACATAAATAAACTGTTTGTAAATAAAAAGAGGGCTCCTTTGTGCACATGCGCAGATCGGACTGTACCGCATCTTTAAAGTTTATTCTGAATTTAGTGAGTTCTTTAACTTGCGGTATAATATATCATTTATAGACCCTCCGTTCGGGGGATTCGGCGATATTTCTCTCAGTGATAGCCCCTCGGAAAATATCATCACTTCGGGAAATATTACGCCGAATCCCCCTCGCTCCGGGTCTATAAATGATAAATATTGTACAAGTTGGTTTTCAAGTAATAATCGTAGTTATTTATTTTCAGTGTCTCTTTGAAGAGTGGAAAAATGGCTTCAAAGAGAATGATGTTGTTAGCCATTATAATGTTGCTGATGAGTAAAATGAGCTCACAATCAGTTGAGAAAGTATACAATGGATTTCTTGTAGGTCAGAACGTAGTGGATTTTATTTCGAAACTCGGTGACCCAAAGACAAACAGGGTTTTTCATTCGTTGGCAAAGATGGCAAGTTTTCTGGGAGCAACAGGTGGTCTTGTATCGATTGCATTAGCTTTCGTTCCAAAATCTGACTCGCTTGAGCTTAAATACATGAAGAAAAAGTTTTCCGAGGTGAATTCGGAGTTTGACGTAATCAGGTCGGAGCTTGATAACGTGAAAGATCTCATTACGTACGAAAATCAGCGCGTCGCTTATCTGGATAGTGCCTCAAAGATTCTGTTCAGCCATAATCAATTGATGTCATTCCTGAATGAATTGCATAATACGTCGTGTGCGGATGAAAAACACTGCGATCGCGTGCGAGACAGAATTGCATCCCAATATGTCGATGATTTCAACGTGAAACGACACATGTTCAATGTCCTGAACGGTGCTATAAAACCAACATCAGCATTTGGAGAGCCGCTTATTAATGTGATCAGGAAAACATTCAAGTGTGATGTTGGCAAAATCGACCATCTTGCAAACAGCATTCTGATATTGTCTTTCAAGGCTCAGCAAGTGATTCTGGCGCATGAGAAATTGACAGGCAGCAACATTAGTATTACCCAAAGCGTGAATGACTGGCTCAAATCACTTTATGATCTGAGAGAGATGACATACAATATTAAAAAGCAGTGCTTTGACCAGATTTCTAGTTATATGATAGCTGATATCAATGACATGTACAAAAAATATCAAGTTAATGTTGGTTTAAATTATCAAACAAATCAAGAAGCGATGAAAGTTATGGAGGAGAAATACAAATGGCTTGGATGGGTAAGATATTTTCTTTTATTATATAGACAACTACCTGAGATAAGCTACCGCAAACCTCCGACTATAAGCCCCCCCCCCGAATATAAGCCCCCCGTGTATAAGCCCACCACATGTACTAACGCTCACCTCATTTCAAATATAAGCCCCAATATAAGCCCACCCGAATATAAGCTCCCCGAATATAAGTCCCCCAATTAATATAAGCCCAGTAATCGCTGCTTAATACACGTTTACTCCCTGTTTATGACGGACTTGTTTATGTCTGACTTGTTTATTACTAACACAAAAGATCGTCCATGTATAAGCCCACCCGTATATAAGCCCCCCCCCCCTTGTATAAGTCCATCAAAAATCGCTTACGAAGCTTAAGATTTTGGTTTACGAAACACATATATATTTCCTATACGGATGAAACAGACTGTTGTGGTTTTTGGAGGTAAAACGAAAAACTATATATATATATATATATATATATATATATATATATATATATATATATATATATATATATATATATATATATATATATATATATATATATATATATATATATATATATAATTTAATATTTTAATACAATTTTTCAATTGAATAAGTTGCTACTTTAAGTTTCATGCAACAAGCAATCATCAGGCAACATATTAATTAACAACAGATTAATATGTTGCCTGATGATTGCTTGTTGCATGAAACTTAAAGTTGCAACTTATTCAATTGAAAAATTGTATTAAAATATTAAATTATTATTATTAAATGCTCTACAATTGTCTTGTATTGAGCACTCTTTATTCTTAAACACGGTATATATATATATATATATATATATATATATATATATATATATATATATATATATATATATATATATATATATATATATATATATATATATATATATATATATATATGTAATATATGTGTATATGTGTATATGTGTATATGTGTATATGTGTATATGTATAT